CGCACAAGTCTTAGGTGTCCAGTTTGACACATTTTGACATGAGTGTACACCCACATAACCATCACCCAGATCAAGATAGGTAATTTCCATCACCCTAAAACTCCCCTCATGCACTCTTCTCAGTCAATCCTTTTACCCCACCGTTCTCATTTCTATCACGGGTGATTAGTTTTGCCTAAACTTGAACTTCATCTGTGTGGAATCATCCGGTTGTACAGAGACAATCTCAGAGCCTGGCACAAGGTCTGGCACGTGGCAGGAACGCAACGTGAAAGAAAGTCCTGGTTCTTTAACTACCCTAGGAGAGAGCACTGATCTCATTGGGAAACTGAGGCTTCAGGCGGTTAGTGACCTGCCCAGGGCACAAGGCCAGGGCAGCAGAGGACCCTGGGTACCAGGCAGAGGACCCTGGGTGCTAGCCCAGGCTCTCCATTCTGAATGCACACCTCTCTCCTAAGGCTCCCCCTTGCTCCCCCGGCTCTGTCCTCCCTCCCCCACCCCCCGCGCCCCGGGCTCCCCCTCAGCACTCTGTGTGGGTGAGCCTGATGATGTTGGCGGGTGGTGCCCCCTGCCGCTTGCGGGGCCTGACCGGGGGTCGGGGTGGGGGGGCCCACTTCCCTCTGTGGGAGGTGCTAGGATCACCAAAGCTCTGGAGCCCCCTGCAGAGCCTGGCGAAAGGCAGGGGCTCTGTTCGCGGAAGGAAAGTCACCTGCCCTTTTATCTTCCTCTGAAGGAGATTTCCCCAAGTTCTGGGGGCTTTCCTTCCCCAGAATAAACGGACTAAGGGAAGAGGCCTTTTTTGGTGGAGCGCTGCTGCCCCCAGCTGGGCGGCGGGGGATACTACCACTGAGCGGGACGTGCAAACTCCGCGCGTTTTCCGCCTCTTGGGTTCTGGTCTGAGTTCGCGGACCCTTCCTTGCCTCTTGGGCTCCTGGGTCCTGGGCTCCTGGTCTCCTGGTCTCCGAGAGGCAGATGTCTGTCAGGACCGTCACCCGGCACTTCAGCCGCGTCCTGAAGTAAGGGTCTTTCTCAGAGAACCAGCCAGCCCAAGCATATGGGGCCCCCTATACCTTGGGGGAAGGTGGGCTGGACGGAAGCTTTTGAGGGCCTGGTCCGTATTAAGCAAATATTTAAACAGGTGTGGTCAAGGTTTGATCTTAGGGCTTGATTCAGAGCAGGGGCGGAGGCGGGGAGGCCTCTGTGCAGCGGGGCATGCGGCACCTCCCCGGAGCGCCGCTGGGTGCCTGCCAGCACCTCTTAGCTCCCCCTCTTCCTGTCGCACCTGCGGTCGGTGGCGGTGTAACGGCCCAGCCAGCCCGGCCCAGGCACGTGGCCTGGGGCGATGCTATCTCGAACTCAGTATTTTTAACTCCTCTTTGCAGAGGATGTGGCTTCTGCGGGAGAGCTTCAAAGGGTGCCCCATTTGCCCTTCGGGGCCACCATGACGTCATGGAAATGGGGAGGGGAGACCCTGAGCCCCCAGACACCTGGCGGGAAGTGGGAGACATTTTCCACTTCCTGTCCTACTTCTGGCTACTGACTCAGTGTCTGACCTGTTTATTAATTTCAAAATACAGCTCTCCGTGTGATGCTCAAAGGAAAACTTCTGCATGCATGTGTCTGGGTGAAACAAAGTGTGGAAACCAGGTGGCCTTCCACAAAGTCCTCAGGGGTCAGTGTGCTTCTTAACAGAGTGACCGCACTGGCCCCATCTGGCTGCTCCCCAGGTCCACCCTCAGGAGCTCTCTGTCCCACACACTGGCTGAGGAAGTAGTCTGCAGAAGTGCTTTTAAGATAGGACATCTGGGTAAAGTGAGGTGGACCCGGTAATGTGACCTTTGGCCCGTGACCTTGGAATAGTTGGGCAGTGACCCGAGTTCTGCCTCCCTGGCACCTCCCACGGGTACCATCCTCCAGACTCTTATCGGATGATTGCCTGCCTGGGGGCTTCACTGGCCAATGGGCCATCACTCAGGTTTTTCTTTCCCTGATAGTTCTTGACAGGTTACTCTTAGCTTTTGGCAAAATCATGAAATAGCGGCTCACCCAGCTGACTCCTCTATTCATCTCTATTTTCCTTTCTCTTATGCTCCCCCCACAGCCCCACCAACCTGGCTTCCTTCCCAGTGCCTAATGGCACTAAGTATTTATTTGTTCATTTGCTAGTTAAGTGTCTATTAAGCATCTGTGGCATGCCAGCCACGGGGCTAGGTGTTGTGGACACAGTGATGAACAAGATACATTGGCCATCCCGAGGAGTGCAGAGTTGAGTGGACTTTCTTGCCAAGATATTATGTGGTAACTACGGTGATATCTGTTAAGGCTTTCCATGTGACCCAGGGGAGTGGGATTTTAATGGTCAAACCGAGAAGATAAATAATCCTTCAAGACTCATGTGGCTGCCCCTCCAATGGTGGGTCATAACAGAGGGGGTTACTCTGTTGGAGTTGAAGACCCCACCCCATTTCAGGGTGTTCCTGAAGCATATCCTTGATTAACCCTCTTCTCTTGAGGGGACAGTTATTCCAGTTACACTGGCGAGGGGCCAGGTCCCTGGGTGAAGTGTCAGAGAATCTTCTAGAATCTTAGAACTGGGGTCGTGAGAAGTCATTTGGTTCATTCTTTTGCCTCCAGAGCTGGCCTGTGTTTAATTAAGCTCTTTGGGCAATTGGGTATCTGTCCAGACAAATCCATTCTACAGCTGGCCTTGGTGACACATTCCCTAGTGGAACAGAGGTCTTGTGTCCTCAAAGCTGGTCTCTGTTCATGGGGCCTGGGGTTCTCCAGGGCTGGGCCTTCGTATGGATGTGATGATGGTGTACCCGGGTTTCTTCAGCAGCCTCTTCCTTCCAGGCTAAGCAGTGCCTTGGTCCCTAACTGCCCTGAGGGGCTCTGCTGCAGTGACCCTAGGCCCTGTGCTGACCTCCTAAGGGGCACAGAAACCCTTGGTCTGGGATTGTAAGGGTATTTTAATTCCCTCTGACACCCTAGGTGGGGCCTGCGGCCAGAGGTGAGAACAGAGTGGATACAGGAGTGGAGTGTGCTTATCACCCCCTCAGCATACCCACTTGCTCCTGGTCTGCCCTCTGACTCGGCTCTAATTGGCTTTAGGCTTAACGGCCTTAGATTTGATGGAAGGTTCTTGCTGGGATCGAGGAGCCCTGGTTTGAGATGGAAATGTCTCAGCGGTGTGCCGACCCTGCTTTCCAGATGACCTCCGATGTGCCTGAGGCCTTGTCACCCTTGGCTAGGGCTGGGCCCAGAAGGAGGAACCCTTGCTCCCTTAGTGGGTCTGGGTGGGTCCCCAGCCACTGCCTGTCACCTCATAGGTCCTTGGATGGCCTTAGGGGTCCATGACTTCAGGGCCCTGACAACTGAGGGCCCTGGGATGGCATGATTCCACAGACTCCCCTGGCCTCCTCCCAGGTTCTTGGAGGGATCTGTCTTTAGCCCCTTCACTGCCTCCCAGGGTCCTTGCTCCTGTCACCTGCCCTAAGCCCCCGTGTCCCCCTCAGGCTCAGCGTCTTTGCTGCCAACTCTCAGGAGTGGAGTTGCCTCCTCTCAGGAGTGGAGCTGCCTCCCCGACCACTGGGGTCTTTTGTATACAGACTGGAGTGAATTACTACTTTAGGAGGAAAAAAAAGATCAACTAATTTGCCTTAGGTTTTTAAGGGTTGATAAAGGCTTGCTCTATTAACCCTCCCAGGGGCATTTTCATTGAATCGGGAGAGGAGAATACTTTAATTAAAAGAAATTCCCAGTGGCAGGATCTCTAGCATCGTGTCAGGGCCATGAGGCAGAACCTTAGCTTTGGGAAGGTGGTATCCTGCTGTGTGTGAGAGGGACCCGTGATGATGGGGTGACCTCTGTGGCTGTCCCTTTTTGTGATCTTTAGAGGTACTTGCATTTAGGCTGCAGGTGAGGGGACTCAGTGAGAACTACGGATTCTGTGACCATCCTCCTCCACAGAGGCTACAGAGTCAGTGGCCTGTGGAGCTGGAGCTGGAGGCAGCTTCCCAGTCCTAGAAGATATTTTATAGGCGGTGACCCTGGAAATTATGGAAGGGAAGGACATGCCCAAGTCCCATGTTGAGCTGGGGTCTTGATCCCTGTGAAAAGCAGCAGGCCTGACTTGTAGCTGGAAGGATTTGCATATTTCCGGCTGATGTGGTTGGAGACACATGTGTGAACCATAGAGGTGTTTGGGGATAGGACCTTCCCTTCCCCCTGGGAATCCATAAGCCCTGGGCTTGATGGCAGTAATTGTGAGGAGGATGGCTGCATCTCGGAAGGGCACTCAGGCCCAGAAGAATACCGGGGACCCCGGGCAGCCCTACCTTCTGTCCTCTTGCTAAGAGCTTAAGACATACACACACTCTCCTTGGGAGAGTTCCTGAGCTTGAGGAGAGAGGATTCATTTCTTATATCCAGGCTGGGGGGAGGGGGGGAAGTAGAAAGTCTGGCTAATCTTCACTCCCTTTCCCTGCTCGTAGACTGGACACCCCAAAGTTGGGGCATGGGGGTGGGACCCAGGCAGTGGACTGGTGGGTGGTCCCCAGCCATGAATCTGTAGGGGCCATGCATGGTTTCAGTGAGAATCCAGTCTGAAAGGAAATGGTCCCGGAGGGCAGGAGACAGTGGGTGGCATTTTGGGGATGCTTGCTGTGTGGTCCCTGCCTGCCAGATTTCCATGGCCAGTCCTGATCAGTCATGGACATAGGCCTCCTACTATGGGTGGCCCAGTGGTGCGGCAGGAAGACAGAAGAGCAGGGACCTCAACTTTTAAGTGGGTTTGCCTGCCCCCCGCCCCCCAGCTCAGCCTTCTAAGTGGAATTTTTTTAGAGGTTGTTCCAGGATGAGATTGACTTCAGTAGCTTGTTGAATTAGGCACCCTGAGCAACATCAGGACAAACGCCTTGGTTTCTTTCTGCCCAGTCAGGGATCAATAGCAAGCCGACCATACATGACCCTGACCAAACCCAGTCAAACAGGAGCACATCTGGGCTCTTCCAAATTGCCTTTAATGAAGTCATGGGTAGCAGGATATACAACGCGGCTCAGATACACAGCACAGCAGGGTCTCCGTAATAATTTCCCCCGCATCTTGGGGAAAAGGGTATACATATTTGTGAAATTATTTAAAAAAACGGACTCCTCACAACCTTCTCCGGGAGCTAGAGGCCAAGAGGACCTACTGGGGGTTCCTCTCCCGGAGGATAGGGGACAGGGGATGTAAGAGGCAGTCTCAGAAGGGACAGGGAGTCTCTCCGCAGCGGCCCCCTGACTTTGCTGTGAGCGTCCAGTGGTGACAAGCAGCAGTGAGGGAACCAAGGGGGCAGAGGCAGGGTTTGGCAGCTCTTCAGCACCTTGATGGTGAGTATCTGGTGGGATCCAGCTGGTGGCCATTGCCAGTGGGGCCAGAGAGGCAGAGGGAGCCTTCTTATCTGTTCAGGGGAGCAGATAGTCTGCCTCTCTGCTTGAAGAGGGGCAAGAGGTACGGTCGGGAGCCAGGAGCGAGGGAGTGCCAGGCGCTCTCATGTTCTTGGTGACCTGGGTTGAGGAAGCACAGTGGTTAGGGCTGACTACTGAGGACACAGAGTCAGGGACAGTTAGGGATGTGGATGGAGATGCCTCCATTTGTAGAGTTCTAGGAGCGAACGGACACTGGACTTCCTGTTGATGGTGGGGGAACAGGAGGCACTTGTCAGTAAGATGACAGGGATACGGGGAGAGAGCTAGGGTTAGAGCATAAGAGGCATATAATGTCTTTGCGTCGTACTGGGGGCAGAGAACATGAGGAAAGCAATTGGGCGCCCCTGTAGGTTTTGCAGTGAAAGGAGTACAATAGAAGGCATGGGCATAAACGAGTCTGGGTCCTGAGTTTCTCATATTTTTCCACTCATTAGTGGCTGGCCCTTGCTGTGACTTGGCCTCAATGTCTTTCTTTCCAAAATGAGGAGAATAACAGCTATTCTTCATAATTTATAGGGGAGACATGGCTCAGCTGAGGTGCCTCTTGTCCCTTGAGGAGTCCTACCAGTGTTCCAGGCCATTGTTATTTACAATAGTAACCCCTAACCAGAGAAAGTGGAGGGGTTTGGTGGGCCCCACTATAGGACCTAAAAGCAAGTCCTGGGGGGAGGTTTGCTTTCCGACCTTGGAGACCCTCACAGCCCTCCCTCCCACCTGAGATGCCCGCTCACCTCAGCGCGACCACAGCCGCAGCGTCGTGAACAGGTTAAACCCAGCCACTTTCAGGAGGACGACACGCAGCCCGATCATGAACAGGTTTTGGAAGTTTAGGCTCATATCTGCCAAACAAGAGGTTATTGGCATGCATATCCCTTCCTAAGCCTATTTGTATTATTCTTTTCAAAGGAAAATACGAGCTGCACTCAGTCCTTATTTTATGTCTGTCTTCCTCAAGAGTGGGGATGGGGCAGGGCTCAGAACTCACTGTAACCCCCTGGATCTGGGCCCCTGGGTGACTAGCAGGTGCCTGAACCCCAAGAGGGATGATTCAGTGAAAACAACTCAGATGGAAATGGATGGGCCCAGGGCAGGTGGCCGGGAGTGGTGGGGATCCTGAGAGACGAGATGCCTGCCTACAGGAATCCTGCTGCTTTTCTTGAAAGAAGGCAGAACCCCAGCTACTGGGCACAGAGGGAACCCGCCCTCGGGAGGAGCGGGTGAGTTCAGGGCCCTGCACAAGCCAGTTGGAAATGTCATAGCTGGGCCACTGAGAAGCTCTCTTTGGTTCTCCAGAGCCCTAGGAGTGAGTCATGGGGGTCTAGGAAACTAGAGACTCATCTTGAAAGTCCTCAGTGGGGGAAAGCACGTTAGAGATGGCGAGAGGAGCCTGGGGATTCAAGAATATTCCCGTTCTTCCTAACTTCATTCCAGATCCATATATCCCTTCCTGCCTCTCCTATCTAGTCAGGGTGATTGTGGGTACATCTTGAAGCTGGGTTAGACCCCTCTCTTACCTGTTTCAAAGCTTTTCTCTATCAAAGTGGCATCACAGGAAAAGTCTAAAAGGAGAAACAAAGACATTTTCTTAGAGTTGAGTGAGCCGACTCTGCCATGCCAGACCTTCTAGGATTTGGGCAGATGAGCCTCTGTCTACAGGTTTTCATGTGCTCTCCTGAAGAGATCTGGAAGGGACTTGTCGCCTATGGACACCTGCTGGGAGGGCCCTGGCTTCTGGGGATTACTACATTCACTTCACAAATGCTGCTTGTGCAAAGGACCTGTCACCCAACACAAGGCCACAAGGAACCATCAGACACAGATCCTGCCCTTGGGTAGGTTCCAGTCTGGAGTCTGAAAGAGGCAGTAAGACACCACACAGTGACAAAGTGCCATGAGGGGTATAGATGCCCTCCTGTGTCCCATGGAGTCACTTCAAATTTGTTCCTTTGTTGTTACCATCTCAGTGGATGGCCCTGTCATTGACTCAGCGGCTTGGGCAGAAAATCCAGCCACCTTCCTTGCTCTCCTCTTTCCTTTGCAGCCCTGCCTGGTTCTCCCTTTGAATCTGAAATCGTGTTGGCCACTCAACTCCCTTACTCCCCCTGTCCAAGCCCCTATCATCTGTCTGTGGCAATGGCTTCCTTTCTGCTTCCACTCTTGGCTCCTACAGTCCATTTTCCACTTGGAGTGCTCTTTTAAAAAAGCAAATTGGATGTCGTTCTCCTACTTAAAACCAACCAATAACTCCTCATTGGACTTAGGAGGGTGGCTGTCCTCTCGACCTAACAGGCCCTGAGATGAGGCCCTTCCCTACTTCGTCCATCTCCTGTCCTGTTGCTCTTCCCCTTCCTCGCTGTGCCCGTGTCAGGCCTCCACAGGCTCCCCCCTCTACCCTTGGCACAGCTGCTCCCTTCGTCTCCTTTAACTCTCATCTCACCTAGCATTTCCTCAGAGAGCCCTGCCCAGACTCTGTCCCTAAGTTGGCTGCTTCCTCCACCCTCAAGTTAAAGCACATGTTAAATCCGAAGTTCTCTAGATTTCTGCTTGCTGATGGATGGCCTCCCCCAACTGTAGTGGACCTTGCTTGGGGCAGACCCCTCATCTGACTTACTTATTCCTTCACTCCAGCCCCTGGCACATTGTATATGCATAACCAGTGTTTGTTGAGTGAATGAATGACTGGCTGAGGTTGGCTCTTTGGCAGAGAGAACCAAGGGGAGGTATCTCGGAGAAAGGCATTAGACGGGGCAGTGAGGGGGCAAACGGCCTAAGCAGAGGCAGGGAGGTGGGAATTCGGGGCAGGTGAGAAGCCAGTGCCCTTCCCACCACCTTCTCCCCATCCCCTCTTTGCCTAGGACATCCTGGGACATGCCAGGATGGAGCTCCCTGGTGCTCAGTCACAGGAGTGGAGGGGCTTCGCTGACAGTGGATGAGGCCGAGACCACCCATCAGAGCAGCTTTTAGGGGAAGAACCAGGCGTCTCCCGAGTGGGGAGCCTCAGCTGGCACAGGCACCGAGGCTGCTCTCACCTGAGCTGGAGTAGAATTCCTCGTTGAAGGTCTCATTGCATTTAAAATCAGTGCTGGTGCTCCAGGCCAGGGCGCCATTGCTCTTGGAATTCATCGACCACATGTCCAGCACGGTACTGTTTAGCCTGATCATCGTGGACTCTGGGGCTTGCTCCTCATTGGTCTCAGAATCAAAATCGGTGAACAGGCAGACAGAGATCTTACTGGATTTAGGGCTTCTCAGCTGGTACACAGCGGGGTCAGGGTCTGTGATATCTGTGGGCCAAAAGAACCCAGGTTAGGAGATGCTCATTTCCCTCTTTGCCCCAACCCAGGTCTGAGTCCAGATGCCAGTGATGGGCAAGAGCAAGGCTCTGTGGGGCTGGCAAGTCACATTCTCAGGTTTTGGGTGGAAAAGAACATTCTGGAAACCAGTTCTAAGTGGACTGGAAGTCAGGGCCAGGCGAAAGCCACAGGTCCTGGCCAAGAGGCCAGGTTCTCAGTGGAGGCTCTCTGGCTGGCCCTGCCTGGCATTCAGGGAAACCAGAAATGCAGGGCTCCTTAATGATACTGTTTATTCTTTCACTTAATAGGAACATCTTCCAAAGCACAGTGGGACTAGTAAGCAGCAACGCTGCTCTGACAGGACAAAGCAAGCCTAGAATAGAGGCCCAGCAAAGCAAACCATATGTCTAGGAATCAGGGGTGGCCTCCCCCAAATTAGGCTGGGTGTGGACAGCAATTGGAGGTTTATTATCGGCTGGCATTAAGATGAAAGATCGGTCACATCACCATGAGGAGATTTCTCCTCGGTAAAAGTTTTAGACATTAAGTCGGAATACCTGCCTCCCAGTCCTTGTTCTACCATTCATTAGATCCAAGGTCTTGAGCAAGGCACATCAGCTCCCTAAATGTCAGGAATTTCATCTGTAAAATGGAGACATTGTGTCCTCCATGGAAAATCAAAGGGGGAGTTTCTCTCTATAGAACTACAGTTAACAAACTATAAAGCACTGAATCGATGAGAGTAACTGTAGCTCTTGATGATGCCAGGATATCGCCGTGATAATGTACTACTGAGTTATACACAGTCTGTTTCTACTCTTCACCCTCAGGAAATAGGGGTCGATGGAGGCTTTTCGTTAGAGCTAAGAATTGTTCTTCAGTATTTCTGTAGGATTTTGTGTTTTTAATGTAACTCTCGTTGTTTATTCTTTCAGACCTCCTGCCTTTAGAAGAGGAAACAGAGGTTTGCTGGGAGGGTTAACACGCTGGGGCCACCCAGAGAGTTTACAGCAGGGTTGGGACTAGAGTTTCCTGCCCCTGTGGTTCTCTGCTCCCACGGCTCCCCACCCTGCATGCAAGGTTTCTCAGACCAGGGGTCCACCCCACTTGTGAGTCCAGCCAGGGTGGCCTTGGCAATGCAGACTTCCAGCTGGACCTGAAACCAGGGACCCCAGCCTTTGGCCTTGTCTTGGGTTGCTGAATCAAGGCATCCCAAGGGTATCAAGTCAAGGGTGTGGGGCTGTCCCTGGAGCAGCAGAACATGGGTGGGTACATGGTCCCATGTGAGGACATCCAAAGCTCTGGCCCCAAGGGATTCTGCCTGTTCCTCTCCAATGTCCCCATATCTGGGGCTGGGGGTAGGGTCTGACATCACTGTGGATTAAGGCCCTAGGGCATAAATCTTTTATAGGGAGAGAGAGAAACCGAAAGCCATATGTGCCACCAACATACCCCAATGGGTTTGTTAGTCCTTGGTGGGAGTCATGGATGGGACTGGGAATGGAGATGTGGAAGGGTATGGAGGTGCTGAGGGAATGTGGCCTTGAGGAGAAGGTAGAGGATAAGGTGCCACCAGTACAGTTTGGGCTTAGAGGGGAAGAGGGGTTGCTGTGGGGGCCCAATGTCCAACTCTGAGTTGTGGTTAAACACTCAATCAAGTTCTAGAGCCACTAAGTGTCAGGCTGGAGAAGGTCTAGCATGCTGTCCAATGTGATAGTCTTTAGCTACCTGTGGCTATTTAAATTAAAATGAATGAAAATAAAATCAAATTAAAATTTAATTAAAAATTAAAACTTCATTTTAAGAGTGTTGTAGCTGCTGTGTTGGACAGTGCAGGTTGATAGAACACTTTGATCATCCCAGAAAGTCCTGTTGGACAGCATTGCTGGAGAGAGCTATGCTACAGAATATGAGATTTTTTGAGGAAAGGTACGGAGGGCTGATTGTGCGCCTTAAAAACCATCTTTAAGTCAGTGAGGATGGGAGGGTGACTCCATGAGAGAAAGGCCAATTTTTGCTCAACTTTTTTCGCTAGTGAGAAATCAACATGAAATAGCAAATCAATGAAATCAGAAGACTTGAGATGATTTTCACTGCTCCCAGTTCTCATTTTTACCAAGACTTCATTCATTTTTGGGCTTCCCTATCTGCATTTTTGCTGTTGTTTCTCCTGTCCAGCTTCCTTACCTCTGATTTCCTCTCTTTTTTCCCTCTCTACCCCCACTGTCTCCCCATTCTCTTTTTTTGAGCTCATCCTCCAAAGTACTTGTCTAAAACCTAGAGCTGATTGCATCATTTTTGTTCAGAATAATTCAGGGACTCCCTAGTGCCCACAGAATAATGTCCAAATTTCCTGGCATGACATTTAGGGGCTGTCATGATCTGGAGAGCTTGAATTTTCTTCTCTCAAGTCCATTCTGTGCCCTAAATGAATAGAGCTTCACCTGCAGGCCCACAGGAAGAGTTTTCAGGTGAAGGCCTACTCATCTAGGGCACATAAGGGACTTGAGAGAAAAAATTCAAGTTCACTTAGTGTCTGCCATGTAGTATGTGCTCAAGAAACAATTGTTGGATCATAAATGGCCTAGTAACCAACAGATTTACAAAATTTCCTGCTTATCAGAACTTTTTGGTAAAAAAAGCTGAGTACTGATCCTTAAACTTGCTTTGTTTTAAGTCCTTTTACTTCCGCTCCCATGTACCTCTGGCACAACCATCTCTTTTTGTCTGAGGACGAGAAATGAATCACTTTTAATTTGGAGGTCTTTAGGGGTCCCTCTGCCAGAGCCCTGGGAGGAGACACATCCTATCCTGTTCCACCTTAGCAACGCCCATCCTTCCACTGATGACATCTCAGACGTTGGCCTTAGGAAGACTGGGTCAAGTTTCCAGTGTGGAAGTTCAGCTCTGCTAGATCCTAACTTTTCATTATAATTCAAAACCGACCGCAGAGGCACATGTCCAAAAGCTCTAGTGCTTCCGATGCGTCGGGGCACAACAGTGATTTCTCCCATGAAAGCTTCCCTCCCACGAAATCAGTGCTTTGTAGTTAGGTACTAGGAACCCGGAAGTGTTCCCACTTAGCAATCCTGACTCTGGGTCCCACTGAGCCTCTGGTAAGCATCAGGAAACAATGAGCCTGGGTGGACTTACCAGGAGTTATGGAAACTCTGGTTCCTTTGCCAAATTTCAAACGTGAGGCAACACCTTCATACCACACCTAATGTCTCCATTACAGAAACCCTTAGGTTTCTCCTCCTCTGAGGAATGGGGTAACCTACCTCATAGAGCCTATTGAAGAAGGAGAGGGGAGGTCCCTAGGACATGAGGCATCCATGGAAGGGGCTGGCCCCCTCTCACATTCATATCTGGTCTCCATTTCTAAATTGGATCCCCAGGTTACTAGTGGCCAGCCTTGGCCCTAAATGTCTGAATTCTCTTGAAGGGTCTAGAATTCCTTTTCTCTATTGTCTAAAAAGACATTTTATTTGCTTTTCCCTGCTTCCAGTTTATTATCAGATGTGTTTACTTAGGCCAAAATGCACATGCCTTATTCACATCCAAGATCATGCCTTTTTTGTTGTTGTTCCTTATGCTTGAAAGTCCCCTTCTCTCCAGTCTTTGCCCATACAGATCTTACCTATCCTTCAGGCCTAGTGAACCCTTTCTACTGCATAAAACCTTATCTGTCTAGGCCAACTTCCAGCTGTAAACTCATTCCTCTGAATCTCGATTGTGCCTATTGATGTCATCAATTTGTTCACACTGAAATAGTTTTCAGCTTGCTAAATTTACAGTAGTTATGTCCCTTTAGCTAGTTCTTATCCAATTTGGGAATAGGTCAGTCATCTATCTTAGACTTCTTTGCAGTCAGTCTAACATTTTTTAGAGTGATGGCCACATAGAAGGCATTAGAAAATATCCATTGAACGATTAAAGTCAAGTTTTAATGTGTTTGACCTAGAGAAACACAGATTTTCAAAATTGATAGTGATGGCTTTTCCTTTCACAGAGGCTTCTGTAAGACAATTCATTGTAGCACACACAGTTAGCCTCCCCATAGTAAGACTGATATTCCCAAGGAAAGGAAGAGAGACACTCACTGGCCCATGGGATTGCAAATGGGGCCACCTGGGAAGACTCACCAGCTATTATAGACACTTGGGATCCTTTTCCAAATGTGAATTTGCCCACAATTCCTGCAGTATTCACACTGCAGGTGAAACCATTACAGAAACTCATGAAATCTACCTCTTGCTTCAGTAGAAGTACTGATCTCCCCCAGGGGACAAAAGAATCACACTTTCTAGAGTTAGACCTTCTGCTCTTTTGTGTTGAGGATTTGGTTGTTCATCTCTTTTCCTCCTGCCCTATCCTGCTATAGTACCCTGTGATCTCAATAAACCAAGAATTCAGTAGGGCACAACCCCTGTCCTCGGCAGCGGTATCTTGGATCTTCTCGTGGAGGGCCCAAGACTATGTACTTATCACTTCCCTCATGATTCCTAAAGTCTCAGTCTAAAGATGTTTCCTGAGCATTGAATGCTGGATGGGAGAATTTTCTGGGGATGGGTGAAAAGAACCATTAGGAATCCTACAGAAGAAAATACCTGGGCTCAACTTAGCATCCTGGACAAAGAAGAATTAATTGTCAAGGCTGACCCTTGCTCCACTTTACTTACTTGGCTGGACACTCTGTCTGGTCCCTGCTCCAAAGATTAACGTGGTACTCTGCTTCATCCCCATGGCAGCTAAGGTATTTGTAATATCCTTCTTGATATTAATCTATTAGAACCCACCAGGCTCTGAAAGCACCATCCTAAAAGTCTCCCTGAGTCTTTGTTTCTTAGATTTTCTATTTCCCAGGGAAGCTCTTACCCCTCCCCTTTATAATAATATAAACCTTTTATAGCAAGGTCTTGATGAAGATGGGGAGAATAATAATAATAATGAAATTATCACTAGAAAAACACTATGAATAGTATAAGACT